TGTGTGTGTGTGTGTGTGTGTGTGTGCCAGTATTGACTAGCGTCGAGGGTGTCCGTGTGTTGTTGCCAAGTGAGGAGCACGTGGCTTAGCTGCCTAGCTCTTTGATAACGTGAAAAGGTCGTGCGCCTGCGCCCGAGGTTGTCGGTGGGAAGATAAAACGTCGAGGCCGTCGAGGCGAGGTTAGAGAGGGACGATCCGATGCGGTGAGCCCTCGTTACCGGCGAGGAGAATCGCGGAGGGTGGCCGAGAAGTGAAATGATGATGCGGCGCAGGGGAGGCTCGAGCCGAGATGAAGGGAGGGAGGCATGGATGGGTGTGTGAAATGGCGACGGCGATGTCAAAGAGAGAGAAGGGGGGCCGGGGCCGCGGCAAGGTGCAGGGCAAGGGCAAGGACAAGGGCAAGCAAGCGTGCTTCAGACGGCCGAGCCGACACGGCGCTGTGCTGTCGCAACGCAAATTGAAGTGGGCTCGGCGAGGCTAAACTTGAGCCATGGAGTCAGAGCATGCGCGACCCTCTACCGGCGACACTGCCACCCACTGCACCGACGCGCTGCTTGCAGGGTCTTTTTGCGTCTCTCTGGGAGCAACGACGATCCGCGTGCGATTTGCAGGAAAAAGATGGGCTCGGCATGCTGGCAATTTTTCCAAAATTTGCGGATGCTCCTCGACGGGTGTGCGGATGGATGCGCGTGCGGGCTGGCTGTTCAGGAGGCCAAGCAGGCCAAGCGGCAAGTGCAGCAGACGCGATGGCCCAACGCGATGGCACTCGGACGCGGCAGCCGATGGCTTGCTCTTGGCCGAGCCAGGCTCTTGTTGCTCGCTCCTCGCGGCTCAAGCACGCGACTCGAGCCGGCTGAACCTCGTTGGAAGCTTGCCAAGAGACGCAAGCTTGCCTACTCCGCTCTCCATGCACACGGCGAGCCAGTGCAAAATCGGAAAGCCTTCCGGGCTCACGTGCTCCATTCCCGCCCGCCTGCTGCCGAGCGTAAACACGAGAGCCATGCTGCCGTCGTTTGGCGCTGCAATTCACCACTGCTTCAACAACGTCATCAGCAACGTACCGCGCTCTTTCTGTGTGTGTGTGTGTG